GGGTTTTTCTTTGAAAATCATGGATCAAAGATTGTTGGAGGCTGCAATAATGGGAGATGTTGTAGCATTAGATGATTTGTTAAAAGAGGATCCACATGTTCTCAGGAGAGTGTCTTTGTCATCTAGAGCAGAAACACCACTTCATGTAGCTTCACTTGCCGGCCATGTTGGTTTTGTGAGAAAGATCATGGAGCTGCTGGTGTCTTCATTTGCGCAAGAGCTTAGCAAAGATGGTTTTGCCCCAATTCACCTGGCGACAGCTCCAGGGCACTTAGAAGTAGTGAGGGAGCTTTTGAACAAGGGGGATTCCGACCTGTGTTTGTTGAAGGACAAAGCAGGGAGAACGCCACTCCACCATGCAGCCACGAAAGGGAGGATCCATATCATAGAAGAGCTGCTATTAAAGTGTCCTCATCAAAAAGCCATGGAGCAAGTGACTCCCAACGGTGAAACTGTTTTACACTTGGCAGTGAAGAACAGTCAATTTGAGGCATTCAAAGTCCTGTTTGAAGCATCAGAAAAGCTAGAGGATCATGAGGAGCGTGTAAATGCAAAAGATGAGGAAGGTAAAACAGTCCTTGAGATTGCAAATGCAACAAATCAAGTTCAGGTATCAATATCATTAATATGCTGTAGTTCTTTTTGTTAATTCAGTTAATAATTTCTTCAGTGCCATTAATTTTCATTTTTTGGATATTGCCATGCATATTGAATTCAAAGAATGATAGGAGTAAATTGATGAATTGTGATGAAGATTTTTAAACAGTTCATAGGAAGACTACTTTAGATTTTGTTTAGTATGCCTACCAATTTTGATTAAAAAAAAATTAGTCACATTCTTTCACTACCATTATAAGTTGTAGATGTGGTTTTTCAATCATATATTAAGGATCCATTTGGTACAGCTTTCCAAGTGCTTTAACCTTTTGATACTATTCATGTTCATAAGTTAGAATTTTTCTCTTAAAAACTTATATTTTAAAACATTTTTTTAACCTTAAAAAGATCCTAAACAGTAAAAGATCAAAAACTTCAAATTTAAACTTTTTATAAACTTCTTTTTTACTCATTTTTTACTCACTTTTTGCTATATGTAAAAGCAATTTTTAAATTTTTCCTCCAATAAAAATTTAAACTTATCACTCATGAATAGTATAAAAAAAAAAAAACAAAAGCTCCAACAAGTTACACTAAACAGAACCTAAGCTCTCTAAATTATAGACTTTCTAATACTTTTCATTTAGATATATTTTTTTACAATTTTCTGACATGAAAGGAAATTAATTTAAGCAACACTACTAATATTGCAGCTTACATA